TATATATATATATATATATATATGTGTGTGTGTGTGTGTGTGTGTGACTATAATTAATAAACTCTAATCATCTTCCATAAGTATTTAAATCATAATAAATGAACCCTCATTATTTCCATAAATATCTCAATTAATTGGGTTGCATTGGTTAAGCAAATGGACATGGTTGTATTTAAAATATATTATATATATATATATATATATATATATATACTCATATAATAAATAAGTAACTTGGGTGACACGTGTCATCTTCTGGTGAGACGGTTATTTTGTTTTCCCACTTAAAGACGTATCTAGACACAATTTACATTATCAGTTCAATAAGACTCATTTGAACGTATTTAGACACAATTTATATTAGCAGTTCAATTAGATGATTGGCATGTGTCATCTTATTCAATCAATCCCACTAATTTATGATGCAACTGATTTTATTCTTGAGTTAATTAATTTGTGTGGTAACTGATTCCCGAAAAAATGGTGTTTTACTTCAGAGTTATTCTTTAGAGTTATATTTCAGAGTTATTCTTCAGAGTTTTACTTCAACATTATTCTTCAAAGTTATACTTCAGAGTTATTCTTCAGAGTTATACTTCAGAGTTATTTTAATAGTACAAGTCTGAAGTCATTCTTCAGAGTTATTTTTCAGGGTCATTCTTCAGAGTTTTACTTCAGAGTTATTATTCAGAGTCATTCTTCAGAGTTTACTTAAGAGTTATTTCCATAATACAAGTCTGAAGTCATTCTTCAGAGTTTTACTTCAAAGTTATTTTCCAGAGTTATACTTCAAAGTTATTTTTTAGAGTTATTAATTCAAAGTTATTTCAATAGTACAAGTTTAAAGAGTCATTCTTTATAGTTATTATTCAGAATTATACTTCAAAGTCATTATTCAGAGTTATTATTCAGAGTTATTCTTCGGAGTTATACTTCAGAGTTATTCTTCAGAGTTATTCTTTAAAGTTATTCTTCAGAGTCAATCTTTAGAGTTATTTCAATAGTACAAGTCTGAAGTCATTCTTCAGAGTTTTACTTTATGAACATCAAAATAAGGTGAAGATATAAGAAAATACAAAGCATAAACTCAATAATCCCAAATAAACATGGAACGAAGATAAGAGACAAAAAATGCCTTACAGAACATGGTGAACCCCAAGGATCCAACTTTGGCGTAGTCCACAACAAAAGTCCTTCAAAATCTGTAGGAAGACATAGAATATACACCAATATGAACATCAAAATAAGGTGAAGATATAAGAAAATACAAAGCATAAACTCAATAAGCTCAAATAAACATGGAACGAAGATAAACGACACATAGCATGTTAACATAAATTGATCAATGATCCGACAATAGTTTTCTCATGGGATGAAGATAAAGGACATAACCAATATCTTTATACTACTATCAAAAGACTTACTATTTCATCCCCAATCCTAAAAAAACAAAGGATCTCTGGACAAAAATTGGCATATTTTCATATGGTACAGATGGAAAATGAACATAGAAAAGAAAATTCCAACATAGGAACACAACCTCACACTTGATGATGTTTCTCTTTGATTCTACCATACGACTCTTATGGATGGACTGTGACTTAGGATTTGAGAGATTTTAGGGGATATTTGAATTTTGATTTGCATTTCATTATCTTTTTATTAGCGATATCGTTGGAATTGAGAGATATCCGGAGGTTAGGTTTTAATAGTTGTACATAGGCATTAATTATTTGTAAATATGAATTAGGACTTACGGTTGAGAGATTTTGGGGGATATTTGAATTTTGATTTGCATTTCATTATCTTTTTATTAGTGATATCGTTGGACTTGAGAGATATCCGGATGTTAGGTTTTAATAGTTGTACATATGCATTAATTATTTGTAAATATGAATTTTAAGTAATTAAGCATTAAAATGTAGTACTAAAAGTATAAAAAGTTGTGATTAAGAACTTTGAACCAAATGTTTTATAATATAGTATATATATATACTATATAGGGGGTTAGATTGCAAACCGTCTATTTCATGCAAACTATAAAAACCAATTTCAACCAATAGGAAAATTCTATGTTTTTTCTTTATTTTTAATGAATAAGGATATAAATGTTCTTTTACTTTGTAATGGTTAATCTTGGTAATGTTTTAATTGTTTTTAAATATAGAAAATTAAGTATAATAACGGTTTTTATGGAAGCTGTAAATCAATTTATTTTAATATATATTATTACCATTAATAATTTATATTCTTTTATTAAATTATACTCCTAAAATATGAATTGTAAAACTATACTTTTAAAATAAGTTTGATTACAAATAATTAACAGTATAATCATGTTTCAATAACTATAAATGAAATAGTTTCATATATGGTTCACAACACAAGGGTCCATCTTTCATTCAAGGTGACAAGGAGTCTCATGAATTTATTCAAGAAACAGTAAAACAGTTTCATATATTGTTTTGTTTTCATTCGTAAAACAAATGTCATTAATGAAACCACATTATACAGTTTTCAAAATGTTTCAAAAATGAAACTAATTTCATTTTGTTTATGAACCATGAAACTACTTTCATTAATGGAATAATAGTATTCAGATCTTGAAATTCTTCATTGACTGAACCATATTTAGTTTCATTAATAAAACCAATTTCATTTTGGCTATAAACCATGAAACCGATTCCATTTTTGTTAGGAAACATGAAACAAATTTAAAAATGAATGAAATATTATTATTCAGTTCTTGAAGTGTTTCATTGTCTGAATAATATTTAGTTTCATATGTAAAACCATTTTTCATCTTGGTTAGAAACCATGAAACTGATTCCATTTTGGTTAGGAAATATTTCAACAATTTTCACTGTTGAAACAATGTCATTCAGTTTTTGGAATTGTGGACTCCATGAAACCAATTTCAATTATGAAACGAATTTCATTAACGAAAACAGGTTATTCAAATTTGTGGAAAAAATTCCATTGACTGAACCATATCTGGCTCAAATTTTATTATACCGACGAACAATGAAACAAATTTCACTAATAAAAAAATGAGATACAGTTTCCAAAATGTTTTTATTGATGAAATCAATTTTCAAAAATGAGACGAACAATGTTTTGCCAATTTTGTCATTTCTTGATTAAATATTAAATCTTTTATTTTATTTTTTATTTTCCTAATATAACACATTTTAATCATGATCATTGATCAAGAAAATAGATGGATGAGATTGGTTTGTAGGGTTTGCACAAAAGGAAGTGGTTTGCATTTGATCGTTCATATATATATATATATATATA